GCGGGCGGAGGGGAGAGGCAGCACCAGCAGACACAGACACGCCCTTGACATCAACCATGGAAGGAGGAGCGAGCGGCAGCGCAGGAGCGGCGACGGCGGGTTTGTCCACCACGGTAGCGCCCGTTACCGCAGGCCAGGTATTCTCCAGCCGCCATGCCGCGAAGGTCGCCGTAGCCGCTGAGCTTGCTGCCACTGGCCGTTCCATGAAGAATGGAAAGGGTGCCGGTAGTCGGCAAATTCACCTGATTTGCAAGACTTGTACAAGTTGGGTTGTGAAAGGCTGCCTACAGAAGGGGGGTGATTTCAAAATCACCAAGGTAGAGGGCTCGCATGTCGACTGTGCTGGGGGTGGGCGGACGAGCTCCGCAGTGGTACAACCCCTGGTGGACCAGTTGGTTAGGGCCAACCCCAAGATCGCCGGTCCCGCGATCAAGAGGACCCTGAAGACCGTGGGGTTTACCGTCTCCGACCGGCAATCACAACGCGCGAAGAAGCGCATTGCGACCGCGTCTAAAGAGGATGAAGCGGGTGCCTACAGACATCTTATTCGATAAAGGCTGACCATTTGACTACATGACTGTGCACGTAGTCAAATGGTCAGCCTTTATCGAATGAAAGATACACTCTCGGCTCGTAGCCAATCCCAGTGTATCTGACAGGGTGTAGTGATCTCCGGGGACGGACCCCTCGCCACAAGTTGCTGCTTGTTGTTGACTTCACATTAAACCGTATGCCAGTTGCTAAATGCCAAAATCTAGCAAAGACTCTCGGCCCGTGGTCACGAAAGTGCTGGAGCCATCTGAGGATCTAAAGAACACGCACACGTAGCAAGAAAAAGGTGTACAAGAGCCCGAAGAGGTACTACTACACCTATATATAATCCCTGCAGCACCGTACGCGTGCCCAAAACTGAACTACACGTCCGTCTCACCGTTCGACTACAGCAACATCACCCCCTACTTGTCCCACTCTGTACCAAAACGAATGATTGCCGACTACAGCATACTTGCTGTCTGAAGTGCTGTCTGTACAAAAACACCATGGTAGGCATGGAACAAGAAGCTGGCGGGGCACAAAGCTGCTGTCTGAAGTGCTGTCAGAATGTGTCTGCGGACGTACAGTGAAAAAGAACAACCAACCAAAGCCATGATTGCAATGGACAATCACCCGAACCTCTCCCGATCGTCTGTGTTAGGCACGCAGTGAAAATATCGACAATAGCTAAGAATCGTTCCACATTGAAGGGGTCTTCCACGATCAGGCACATAACCAAGGCACCCGGGTTAGCCACGCCATCTCTGACGGGTCTCTCTACAAAACCAGTGACGACGTCATCACATAGAACCAACACCGAAAATCAGGAAAAAAACGAGAAAAATTGACAACACAGACAAGATATAAATGTTTGTCCGTGCGCCACGGGTCGATGTCGCCCGCATGCTCCGGTGCCGCTGCTCCGTCCGGCGCCGCTGTAGTCAGCCCGAGCATAACGCCACTCGACCTGCTCCGTCCGTACACGCCGTTGCTGTCCTTCCCAGTCGGTTCCTCGCTTTCTCCCTCGTTGCACTCATCAAGGTTCTTGGTCTGAAAAATAAAAATATTTAATTCTCGCGCCGAAGGGGTCAACCAGCCCAGTTCAGCTCGTCGCCACCTGCTCCCTCCTCCTTTGATGGCGAAGCCAGGTTACTGAGGCAATGCAGCGCCCTCTAGCCAACCTAGGGCCGTGTACATAGTTCCCGTCCACCTTCTGACGGTGTCTGCCTCCGCGCACAAAAAATGAGATGGGCATCGCTGCCTACGCCGACGGCCAGAGGCCCGCGCATCTACATTTTTTCGCCTGACCCCATCAGTGCCGACCCAACTACACCACCACGCGCNAGCGATCCACTGGGATTCGAACCCGTGCGTAAATCCTTTATTCGATAAAGGCTGACCATTTGACTACAGTAGTCAAATGGTCGACCATTTGACGACATCGAACCCGTGCGTGAATCCTTTATTTGATAAAGGCTGACCATTTGACTACAGTAGTCAAATGGNCAATGCGATGATCGATGACTGCTGTGCACGTAGTCACATGATCAGCCTTTATCGAATAAAGGATTCACGCACGGGTTCGAATCCCAGTGGATCGCTTTCAAGGCACCATTATCGTCCAATGCGATGATCGATGACTGCTGTGCACGTAGTCACATGATCAGCCTTTATCGAATAAAGGATTCACGCACGGGTTCGAATCCCAGTGGATCGCTTTCAAGGCACCATTATCGGCTAATAGCAGCATCTTGTGGCGAGGGGTCCGGAGTGTATCTTTTATTCGCAACAGGCTGACCATTTGACTACGTGCACGATGATCGTGCACGTAGTCAAATGGTCAGCCTTTATGGAATATCTCTAACCCTATAAGTCTAATTTAGTATGGACAGCGGGTTCTTCTAGTCCCGCGTGGCTTTTTTTGTAGAACAACCATACTGATTTTTTACACTGGGTGACACCTGTTCTGGCGTGCTTAGCAGAAGGGCCATGCACAACCTTTCACGGCGTGCTGGTGCCTAAGCCCTTGCAAGGGATAGGCCTACGTCCTCAATGGCGGCAAAGGCTCGTTTATGACCTGACGGCAGTGCTAGACGTTGCATGATGTGTGTTCTGTTGATGTGCATTTTGTGTCCTCAGCAACATGCGTTCAGCCGCGTTTGCCGGATCGCATCCGATCCTGCGTGTTTCTAATGTTGTTGTTGTGTTGCCTACTGAAAGGCACCGGAAGGGCACTGATCAAACGGGTAGGACACTGTTAGATTGCCCATATCTCGGGGAGATGCATTCGTGGTACCAGAGAGAGAGAGAGAGAGAGAGAGAGAGAGAGAGAGAGAGAGAGAGGACAGCCATGGTGCACGGGGTGCTGTGTTGGTGATGCAGCAGCTACGAATCAGCCTTTTTCTCTAGTTTGTGGGTGATTGCGATGTGTCCGTTGCGAATACGTGCACCCTAAGTCCATGGTGGGTGTGGGCCTTCCCCCTTCAGACCGTTCGGGGTGCACCTGATACTCTACCCCCGGCCCCGGCCACGGCACATGCCCTATTTGCTCGTGCTGGCTGCGCGCAACTCCGCGGGCGTTGCTCGCAACGTATGTGTGCGGCCAGTCAGACTCCTTCGTCCTTCTTCCCCTTTCTATTTCCAAATTTCGGACTTTTGTTGGTAAACAGGTTATTGTGCCTCCCGGAAAAGCCTAGACTACAGCAGATGCTAATCTATCTTAGACTTATTTCTATAGGTAGAGATGGATTTGTTGTGTGATCTTAAGAAAAAAAAAAAGGGTTAAATCGTCTAGTCTAAGGGGAGGGGGGGTAATATTTAGCGTCATGTACCGAGCATGACTGTGTATGCATAGATACAGCACTGCTTGCATGTACAGCAGATAGCAGGGCACACCACAGACAGCGAGGGCAGCGTTGAGAAGCAATNCTTAAGAAAAAAAAAAAGGGTTAAATCGTCTAGTCTAAGGGGAGGGGGGGTAATATTTAGCGTCATGTACCGAGCATGACTGTGTATGCATAGATACAGCACTGCTTGCATGTACAGCAGATAGCAGGGCACACCACAGACAGCGAGGGCAGCGTTGAGAAGCAATATAGCCAAAGACAGCATCAAGACGACACGCGAGGGTGTTGACTACTCTTTCGATTCTCCGATTCTGATTCTCCAGAACTCCAGTAGGATCGCAGGTTCTCCGCGGTGCAATCGCTGACGTTTGATGGGTATCCAAATCAAGACAGAGCTTACAGACGTAAGATCGCTCATCCAAGAAGAACTTAAGCATTCATATTGTAGTGTGCCTCCGGAGAAGCCTACCGGGGACAAGGCTTGGTCTCGGAGACAAGGCTGAGTCTGGGAGACTAGGGCAAGAAGGGCGCGTGCGATGGAATTGGATCAGAGAAGGCTTTTTTGTGTGCATTGGTCGTGACAGTACTTCCGGGCTACCGTAAACTTTAGCAGGACAGGTATTGAGGCTGGTTTGGTTGAGGACCGTCCTCGCACGTATATGAAGCGACCGACATCCTCTCCAGGGTGCAGTGAGGGCGTGCGTAGGGCAGTACGTATTGTGTTGCCGGCCATGAATGGTCTCGTGATGACGGTTTTGACTCGGATTTGTTAGGGAGCCGCAGCTGTGTGTTGGAGCGCGCGTTGGTCGTATCACAACGGCGCATTTATCTGTGGATCAAGCCATCAAGAGCCATTCGGTTCTTGTTGGAATGAAATTAAGAAGCAAAGGCACCCGCCAAGAACAGTTCGAGCCACGAGAAGGACTACGGAACGCTTACGTCTGATATGGTCTGCCAGGTGCGCCTTGCTCATGTTGGCATCGGTCGAATTCTTCCACACATGGTATTTTCGAGGAAATGGCAATGGTACACGTCTTGGAAAGACATTTTTTTCGTCTCGTGGTCTCTTGGTCGGGATGTGTTTTTATTTGTATTTTTGGGCAAATCCATGCAATACACGTCTTGGAGAAAACATTTTTTCGTCTCGTAGCTCTTGGTCGGGATGGGTCTATGAACGACAATTGGCCATTCGTTGTTCTTGGTTCAAAAAATAAATGATAACGTTTCGTCTGCCTGTTTCATGTACTGTAGTCCACAGCCTCCCCCTCCTCCTCCTCCGAACCACGCTTGCGGGAGGGAAAGCAATGAGCCTCGTTCATACCGTAACTTCGAAGTACTTAGTTACGGGGTCCCGAAGCTGGGAAAGGATTGTCCCGAGTCTGTTTGCCCCCTGTTGACTCCCCGATATTGCTGAAAATATCGTCTTCTGCACGTATTGCGCCCGTATGTGTCAAAGATGAAATTTCATGGAAACAGCGAATCGGGGCCCTCCTCTCAATGGCGGTCAGCTTCGACAACAGCGATAAATCGGCTGCTTCACGATTTGCAACATACCTCAAGCAAACGAAAACGGGTAGGCGAGACATGCAAACAAACAGGTATGTGTTACCGGGGTGTCCGTCACATGAGAGTATCGAGCGTTCCAAGCTGCGCTTCAACACTTGCCTCTAAAATATGAGTCTCCACCGACTCAAAACCACCGGAACGAACGAGCGTGTCCTAGGTAGTGTACTACTGTACAGTACAAATTTAACTTTTCGCTTCTTCTCCGTGGCTTTCGCTTGGTTGCAACCCGTGATTGCAACGCGACGGTGCGGTATGCCGAACATACCCGCACAGGAAA